CTTTAAAGATGTACTTTAAAAAGTACTTCATCAGGTACTTTATCAGGAACTTTTCCTCCTGCTTCTGTGCTCTGTTTGTCGTCAGGGGAAACAAAGATCTCTCCTCCTCTCCCCTGCCCGGATCGTTTGCTCGGCTGGAACACACGTTTATGTCAGAATTAAACAACATCTTTATTTTTACAGACTTAAAAATGTGTGAACAAGAGAGAATTGTATAAATATTTATATTTTAGCTTACATCGAGGGACCCTCTGTACAATTCTGACGTGTCTCAAATCTGTTCCCACATTTATAGTTTTCTCCACCCAGTGACACTTCCTGTTTTCAATTCCTGTCCAATAAACACCTTACAGACTCTGTGAAGTCCCTGTCCCATCTACCAGGCACACATTAGCTGTCCTCTCTTTCTACTGAGTACATGACACATAATCAGCACCAAGCCACACAGGATCTCACAAAGGCTGTGAGAATATTAATTATTCCCGGTAACTTAGGACATAATCTAGTCTTTAGATTGCTCCACTAAGAGCCAGGGTCGCTCTGACCTATTAAGCTACTCTTTCACTTATTATAAATTATTTTATGATCCCCACAAACACTCAGATGATGTGAGCTACAATTTAATTTCAGTTACCTTACCTCATTAAAGGCCTCATTAGAAATAAGTAACTATTTCCTACAGACAGCAGAAAGTGTCATGGTTTGATTTTAAAGTTAACAGTCCTTGAAAAGATATTATCTATTGGCTTATGGACACATCTAACAGAAATTCTAGCCATCTTTATATTATCTATTTTCCATAATTCATAATTAAACCTTATATTAAACCTTATAACCTTATATATATATATATATATAAGGGCCTTCTCCTACTCCGCTCCTGTTTCCTGGAATATCTTACAAAAAGATTTGAAGCTCTCGACCTTTGACCTCTCTAAGTGTCTTTAAGAATCTGTTGGACTCCTGGCAGGGACCAATGCAGACATGTTCCTGTTTTTAGTTTTCTACATTTGTCTTGGAATCTAGCTGTTTTTTGTTTTGTTACCTTTTTCCTTTTAGCCATCCTATTTGTTAAAAAAAAAAAAACTGTAGTATGATTTTTATAACTGTTTATTGTTGTTGCTGTTGTCCATTGTTGTCATCTTTCTTTGTTAAATCAGGTCTCTCTTGTAAATGAGTCCTCGAGGCTCAATGGGATTTACCTGTAGAAATAAAGGTTGATTGATATTCACCAGTCCATATTATGTTATTATCCACCATTTATCATCAAAGGTTATTTATTCCCAACATTGTCTTGGAGCTCCTAGTACACACCTCCCAAACAAAAAACACTATTATGGATCTGACGAGCTGGACTTTCAAAAAACGACTGGGTCCTGGAGAACCCTCATGTTCTACTGAGACTCACACTGCGGAGCAAATCAGAGATCATCTGATGTGTCTTTCAGTCCTGTCTCAGGAGGACGCTGAAGATATTTATATTTTGGATTTATGACAGCAGGGGTTCTGACCTTTGGCACCAGCGGGCCTCTGTTGTATCAGCTGGAAGACATCGGCAGCAGTTTCAGTCATGACAAGCTCCTTGTCTGAGTTTGGTTCATGCTATGAGGACTCAAAATCAGCTGATTAACAAGCTAAACTGTAAGATGGAGATGATTTGTGAGAATCACAGGACACCTGCAGCTTCTAGGACTCGACAGAATGTGGGATCGACCTTGAGGAGACTCATAATGCAGATCACTGGAGAGGAATGCCCATAAATCTGGTCATTGTGGAAAGAGGAAGTTCCAGCAGGACTCAAGGCTGACAAGAAAAAACAGTCTGTCTGAAGAAAATCAACAATTGTGGTTTATCTAATAATAAATAATAAATAAAGTGCTATGTGTTGTCATCATTGTATGTTCC